GTGAAGGTGGTGGGCAGCGGGCCGGTGGGGAGGGCTTGGGCGGACTTGCAGAGGCTGGCAACGAGCTGGTGTAAAGTTTGTTTTGTTTTGTTTTGTTTTAAAGAAGTCTCTGATTCTCACCAAGCCTGTAAATTTGGCTGTACTGGGTTAGCCCCCAGGCCTCTCTTTCCAAGCACAGCCTGCCTCTGTGACACCTGGACAAGGTGGAAAATGTTCCCCAGAGCCTGTGGGAAGGGGAGGCTGCGGTGTCCCCTAAGTGCCATGGAGTAAAGTACATGAGACCTCAGTATGGCTGCTCAGTCTTAGGTGTTTTGTCAAAAGAAAACAAGAAACTAACCTTATCTAACAAATTTACAGCTAATTTTGAAATCTATTCAAGCACTGGGGAATGGAGGGGTTAACATAACTTGATGTGAACTCAGGTATCTTTTTAAAGCAGGCAGTGACTTTTGGTCTTACAGAAATATCTTGTAACCTGATTATATATCCATGTATGTCCTTTTAGTGGAGTGACTTGGCAGTATGTTAGTTGTTCCTGAACTGAAAAGTTTGTGCAAAAATTTCCAGTACCTATATTAATTTCATCTGTTTCTGTTGATGCGCAAAACAAGTAGAAAGGCATGTAATTTTACTAACAGTGTAGTTGTACTCTCTTTAAAGCATCAGAGTTCTGGAGCTTATTTTTGGTGCGGTTCCTGTAAATAAGTCATCATTAAAAATATATATTGTGTAAGTCCTAACATTTGTAAATGTTAACTCTTAAAAAAACCCCAATAGCTATGGGCAATAGTTGATGCCCAAAGATGAAAACTGAGCAGATGCATGACACTTCCATTTTGCTACTCTCTTTCTCTCCAGTGAGTTTTAGCTCAGGGGACTTCTTGAGCCAGATGTGGTTTTGTGTTTATTCAATATGCCCCAGTAGATTTTTTTTTTTTCTTCTGTGAATTTCTCCAGTGCCCCTTGAACCCATGTAAAGTTCTTGTATCTGCAACATCTGGCTGGCAA